GTAAGGGATGTTAACTGAATTTTGATCTCGCTCGCATCGATATATTAAATACTCATTTTTTTTCATTTTTTTTTAATATTTTCCGGGGCCCGTTACATACATGATTGAGTTGCAAAAACTTCCGGATAGATATTCTACATCTGAACTGAATTCTTTCTAGTTAAAGAATCTCTTTCTAGTTGTTCTAAAACAATTAGGAGATTCTCTATAAGAAATACAGAGTTAGCTAGATTGAGATAATAGTTTATCTCTTTGAATAAATTAAGGAAATTGTTTACTCTTTTCGAGTCTACGATGTCCGAAACACTTTTTTTTACTTAAAAGTTTAAAGGGTACCCAAGGCTCCAAGTGCAAAAGGTACAATTGCCTAAAGCATATAGACCCCCAAGTCCCATAAGTATAGAATATCTAAAATCTACCAAGGAAAAGAAAAAACAAAATCTAAGTTGCTTAAAGACAAAATCTCCCAAAAGTCATTGACACCTCAAACTTCCTCAACACCAAGTTGTCACTTTAAGCCTTTTAATACGATCCAATATAGATAGAGTATCCTAGATGTATGAAATCTTGGTGGCTATCTCCAGAATGTAGATGAAGTAACATATTTTTGTGGTAAAAACCATCCACTAAGTGCTAATCAAAGGAAAAGAAAATGCTAATCACATGAAAAAGGGTCAGACTATTAGACAGACACTTCAAAAATGGAATAGGATGAAAATGACAAGAAGAAGAAATCCATAGAGATCATTAAGAACAAAATAAAGATATCAGAGGCGTTTATCACACATATACATATATATACACATGTTTATAGATGAGAAGATCTATTAGATATAGATTTAGGCACCCATAGACGCAAACTACTGGGAAAAGAAAGCAGATTGCCTGGAAGGTGACACCTATTTTCTATAGTTAATTTAAGAGAAAGGTATCCTGAAAATGCTAAAATGATAAGCCATTTTCAGCTATTCGCTTTCTCATTGAAATAAAAGAATTCAAACATAAGAGCTAGTAAGCATATTAGAAAGAAAAATCATAAGCTAATGATGCAAGAGATCAACTTGCAAACTACTATTGTCATAGAACAAGTACAAATAATCTCAAACTCAGAAACTGGGAAACAAGGAGATTACAAAAAATTGGAAGTGATGACACATAAAACCCATATCCATGGCAAAGGGGTGAGATCAAGGATTATCTTTTTGTTTCTTCCATGTCTAGTTGATGTGAACAAAGGGGTTTTGGATCATGTATTTCTTATAGGCTTCAAAGAATTCCTAACAAAAAGCCAAGAAAGGTTTCTTCCTTGAAAGAAAGAAAAAGAAGCAAACAGGTTATGAAAATAGAATCCAATTCACTTGAAATGATATTGGAGAATACAAGAAACAGAAACATTAACATAGCATAAACACGGAGACCCAAAGATAGAACCAAATAGCAAGGCTGTGAGGGTGCAAGTCTTAACAAAGTATATGAATCACAATTACTCCAATTAAAACAATTAAAATGTGTAATATGAGATAAACCTCAAAGCATGAGGGCATGATTAAAAATAACCACTTGAATGATCAACTCGAACAATTCGAATGCACTGAACAAAATCGGGTTAGATGGTATAGAAAGGCAAAACGAGGAGACAAGTAAAATAGAATGTGGGTATTAAGAATTCCAACAAGACCTTACTTTAGCTATTTTCTTTCTGTAAAATTTACAAATAAGCATAATGGAATGCTAATACTTCTCCAATTCTCCACTTAACCAAAAGAATTCATTCTGGACTAGCCTAATGGACTATCAACTTACTTAGAGAAAATCAAAGACAAACCCCTCAAACCACAAAAGAAAACTTTACTTAAATTCTATTTACGAGAAACTGACTAATCAAACATGTACTCATTCAGTTAACCACAAAGGAAATAATCAAACATCAGAACATGAAAAAGAAACAGATCATTAGACAGACACTTTAAAAATGAAAATGACAAGAAAAAGAAATCCATGGAGACCATTAAGCACCAAACAAATTCCCAGATTTAACAAGTAATATAAAGTAGATAAAAATCAAAATGAAACAAAACCCATTACTTAAATCCTCGCTCTTATATAAAAAATTATCCTAAAAACTTTAAATGTTATGCAACTAGTAATCAAACGAAACCTCAACGAAATTTAATCAACGCTTTGCATGATATCCTCGGCGGTGAATTTGGTTCCCTTATCCTTGTCGGCGGCTGCACGGCCCTTAGCTTTGCGATCGAGTAAGGACTTACGGTCCTTGTCGAGCCTCAGCTTGGTGATGACTACCTTAGAGGGGCAGATACCGACATTGACGGTAGATCCATTGACCTTCTCTCTGGTTATGCGCTCTATGTGGATCACCCATTTCCGGCGATAGACTTGGACCACCTTTCCCTCACGACCCTTGTAGGTTCCTCGCACAACCTGCACTTCATCATCCTTACGTACCGGCATAGACCGGACGTTGTATTTCTGGCGAAGGTCACCAGAGAGAGGTGCACTCATCAGGACTCGACGAACGCTTGATGGGGCGGTGAAGTGGGCCTTCCTGTTTTTCCGGCGAGAGGAGCTAACACGAGGGTTGTACTTCATTTTGGTTGCTGTTGTGCAGATTTCCCTCTGGTCTGGCTAGGGATCCTCTGGAGAGTGACGGCGAATGAAGGAGGTAGGAATGAGGAAGGGGTTATACAGAGTGGGAGGGATATGTGAGGAACGGTGCCGTTTTGTAGTTGAAAGTACAACTAGGGTTTTGTTGGGGGGATTTAGGGTTTCTGTGGACTCAAAACTATGGGCTGAGCCAGAATTGAAGCCCATACAATATGACAATTAATAACCCAAGGGGCCAAAAGTTCTCTTTTTAGTTGAAGTGCTTTGTGCAGCCCCAAATAACTATAAATTTTTACTGATAATTGAATATACATATATTTATATATATATATATATGTTGAATTATTCCATTACATTAGTTGTTCTAACTAAGAAATGAAACTTAAGCAATGAGTTTCAAAAGAGGTAATTGGTTGATATTCTACTTCTACGTTCTTAATATTAACATGTTAGATGAATTTATTTCGTAATCATTGAAAATATTTATCGTCTATTTAAAACTTTTTCTATTTATTACTAATGTTATTTGTTTTCTCCTTTAACTCTCGAGCACTCAAAAGTTTGTTTTGTTCGACTCGAATCATGCGTTTCTTATTTATTTTATTACTTTTATTTTTATATTAATTCAATGTGTCACTTTATCTTATTCGATTATCAAATACGATTATATTATTTTTCTTACGAGACTTATTTGCTTTAGAGGCAAACTTCAAATCTGCCATCGACACACTTTTTACCTATACGAGTTATGCAAACTGGATTGTACTCCATTGATCAGTTCCGCCAAATTGAAAAAAAAAATCTAATCCTGGTTAGCACCAAGGGGTTTGCAGAGATTTTGACTTAGTTTGTTTTGCACATCAACCATGCAAACCTTTCCCCCATGCTTATATCTAGAATCAAATTAGGAAACTGATATGCATAAAGAGAAACCCAAAAAAGGAAAGAGAGGAATAGGCTTCCCCACAATTCAACCTCAACAGGGAAAGAATCAATCATACACAATATGTATATACATACATTGTAAAAGAGCCAATTTTTATTTACTAAGACCACTAAATTCAGTATATCAATAACACATTCTAAAATTCAAGGGAGAGAAAAGGCTTCCACCCTCTTCATATTTAACAGGGAAAGAATCAATCATATACGAAGTTTTAAAAATCACAAACAGAGAAAACCCAAAACTCGAAGAATCAAAAAGATCAAACTCCATTGACGTCTACTTATTCAAATTTACACTCACAATCACAAAACTTTCTACAATTACAAAACCTATCTTGTAAAATCTCCTTCCTAAATCTGTACTTCCGGCCAAAAACGAAAAAACAAGACTCAGAACTCGTAAAAAGTCAACATTCAGAGGTTGACCAACCCGAGCGAAATCCCTTTGCAAGACTTTCAGATCGTCGCCTTCGACATTCTCGA